TCCTGCTGTAATTTTTGCAAATCTTGTGTGTCATCCAAATATATTCCTTGTCAAATAATGATAACAGAAAACAAGGTAGGGTGCAGACACAGTCTAGGGGAGCTCAGTTATCTCATTTTGACCTTTCAACTTACCAGTGAGGTTCAATACATTTAAATTTTTAAAATAATAGAAGTCTCAGGGTCTTCCTCAGGGTCTTGTCTTTGTAGTCAGTGAAGAGAAACAGAAGCTTTCAGAGATCAGATCCAAACTGTTTGAGAAAGTTGTTATTGGAAAGACTTGGTCAGTGAGGGGTAGACTTCCTACATTCACCATAAGGGACCTACAAAGTGAATAGATGAGATATTAATAGAGGGATATTAATCTTGTAGATCATCTAATTTCTCTAGCCAGTTAAGATCTCCTCCAAATCTGTGTGCTAATTTACCTGTTTCTTTGATATCATAATTCTTTTTGTAACTCAACCTTCTTTACCTCATCAAATAGATCAAGTTGATCATGGGTGGTCCTATGTTAATATATTACTGAAGAAAAACAAAGTAAAATTATACAAAGAAACACTGTAATTAACTCTTTACATTTGATACTGAAACTTATCCATTTACAATCATGTATCATTTCTTTCAGACAAACAACGTTTGAAGGCAGAACTAGGTAATAATACAGTTTTCCTTTTACTTTTATCTCTAGGGTATATGCTATTGACATCCCCAAAAGAGCCAATGAGATGTAGTTTTTTATATAAAGTCCTTCTGGATGTGTCTGTTCCTTTAGCAAACATTTTGATGACCTGTATTTGTGTTTGATTATAAATTCAAAAATAGTCCATTTTCCAATAACTTGTTGGAGCTTTAGTAGTTGAGGACAATGAAATGTTTAAAAACCTTATCTCATTTTTAGTAACTTCTAAGTTAAACCAGCTGGCCAGCCAGTAATGTTGGGTTTTTTTCTTCCTGTTTTTGTTTTGATTGTTGATCAACATAGAAACACAGAAGAAAACAAATGAAGGAGGTAAATATAGTTCTACAACAATGTTAATCAACTCTTACACGTAAGTATATATGAGAGAATGAAAATAAGCTACTTCGTAAAAAACAGCAGCTTGCATTTATTCAAATGACTGTTACTTCTATTTCATTTTTAGTCATTGCTAAGATGTTTTATTTAGTATTATTATTTGTATTATTTGTATTATATTATTTAGGCCATATTTCTAAGAAGCTTGTGATACCTTTCTGCTTCTGTGTAATTTCTCTGCCTGGAGGCTAGCTGACTGTGCTGAGGTTTCTTGAGGCTCTGACCTGCTGCTCCTGTTCTTTTTCACTTTATGGTCAAATAATTCAAACCGTTGTAACCAGCATCACAAAGTCAAAAATGTACAGCTCAGACACTGTATCCTGAGAAATACTGGCTTGGATGTTTAGCTACAGACAAAATAAACATGCTTCCCTATTTATCCCTTCATCCCTTGGCTGAGATATCCACCTGGAGAGGACACATACAGCAAAGTTGACCGTCCTGGAAGTCAACTTCTCTCGGATGAGTAGGCCTCCTCAAATCCAGGGAGGAGACTTTTGGACATCTCAGATAACATTAGACAGCTTGTGCCTATGGATAGACAGTACACAAATAACATTAGAAAACCTAAGCCACAAGAAGGAGGATGCTATCAGTGCCATCAGTGTTGATCAGCAATATTGCTAATTGCACCTAGAGAACTCAGAAATAAACACCTACTTTTGGTCACCTGAGCCTACATACCAAACTTTTTAAACTACTTTCATTTAAGTTGAAATTCAGCTGTTTATACAAGGTTTTCTGCCCAAGACACAGCATTTCAGACAGCACTGGAGGTATATCACTAAGGGCAGAAGGGTACGAAAAAGAAAAAATTAGTGCCGTAAATCTGTTTCTGTGCACAGAAACAGCACAGCATAGCTGTGTTAATTTACACTTGACTTTTATCTACAGTGTATGCTCTTAAGAATTTAAGTTGACAAGTTTTCACATGCCAAATTTTGATAGAAAAAAATCATTTCGGTACTTGCACAGTAATAGAATTATTTAACTCAGATCTCATCTCATAATTGTTATCTCCTTAAGTTTTCATTTCACTTATCAAACTTATTCTTTTACAGCAATGTCTGAAAACAGACTTCTCCTTGGTAAGAAAATATCTTGTATAAATTTTACACTTTTAGAAACCTCATAAAAAATAAAGCAAATATTCAGATGAGCCTGACTGCCATCTGTGAGGGTGAAGCTATTGTAAATATCTCCTCATAGTGAGGTTCAATTTTTTCCTTCAAGATAAAGTCTCAAAAATTTACATCACATAAACAAAGTTGTCATACTGCCTCATGGCACTGCCTGATCTTCTATTATTTAGAGTTCTCCAACATTGAAAAAACCTTCTACAAAATAAGTGTTAATAACTAGAACATCTTTTCCTTTCAGTGCGACTCAAATCTGAGCTGGGTAAGTGGTTTAAAACTTTTATTCAATTGCTGTATGTACTGGTGCATAAGTAAAGTCAGCCCTGGGGAAGAATCGCAGTAGTGACAATAATTACACAGCAGAAGACAGCAATACTGTATGTTGACAAGTATCTGCCTTTCCAATTGATTCATCAAATGCCAATGTCTGTTTCCTTTCTGTAGATTTCTGGGAAGCCCGGAGCCATGCAGGTAAGTAGGCAAGCAGGCAGGGGGAAGGGTGTAAAAATTCAATGGCCATTTCTCCAAGCAACCTTAAAATGACAATGCCAATCACCCTGAAATGGCAATACCATGATGCTAGAGAGACATCGAGTGAACTGTAGTCACAGGAACATGACTTGTTTGGGTAACAGGAAATGAGACTGGGATGTGGCTGCTGGGAAGACGGAGAAAAGAAGTCACTAAAAGAAGTTGAGTCTGGGGTGAGGTGTGGACGTAATTCTGCAGATGATGGATGGCCACACGGAAAAGAGAAAGAGAGAGATTTAAGGCAAAGAGTGTGGACTTGGGTCTCAAGAAAGGCCATGGCTGTGAAAGCTCAAAGGTGCCTCTCTGTTTATCAGTAATTGCATGTCCTGTTCTGGGGAAAGTTAAAATTCTTTGCTGAATTGTGCCAGGACTACTCAACATGTTGAATGCTTCAATACATAGCCCCATTTGAGAGAGGCTCCTGAGACATTCTACTCATTTGATGATTCTGGTTTTCTTCTCCAGTTCCCATTACTGTGCATCCTGACTGCCGAGTCCTGGAGCTCCAAGTACCAGGGGTTCCAGATGTGAAGAGCAACACCTCTGAACCTGCTGACACAAATGCTCCCTCCACAGTCCCTGTCCTGGTGGGGAAGGAAGGATTTGCAGCTGGGAAACACTACTGGGAGGTGGAGGTGGGCCAGCAGCAGGACTGGGTGCTAGGGGTGGTGAGGGAGAAAGAGAGGCACAAAGAGGAAGGGATCCTTCCTGGAGAGGACTACTGGGCTCTGCACGGGTCCCAGGGAGAGATTTTCTCTAGTGAAGGGCATCGCAGGATTGAGAAGCAGCAGAGTTATTCAGTGATTGGTGTACTTCTGGACTTGGAGGAAGGACAAGTGAGCTTTTATGAAGCAGAGCAGATGGCTATGTTGGTGAGGATGCCTCTATTTCTTGGAAAGGAACCTGCAGAAATGTTTTATCCATTTCTCTCCAAAAGGCAAGGGACACTCACATTTCCTATCCGCCCAGTCAAAATCCCTGTCCCATTAAAGCTTCTTTAAATAGGACTATGAGAAGTAACAGGCTAAGGAAAGACAGTTGAGTAGAAAGAAGAAGGGAAAACTTAAGTCTCAGACATCAGTAATGTAAAATTAAATAAGATGTAACCTGAGTCTGAAACAGGAAAAAAAATTGAGAAAGGAAAAAAAATCAGCTAGTTGGAAGAGGACTGGGATCAGATTCAGGAAACCCTAGGCAGAAATATGAGTTCCCATTACAGGTCATGAAAGTCTGATCAGTGCAGCAATGGTTTCAGTTGTTTGAAGTTGATAGAATTGTAATGTAGGTGATGTTAAATAGCCTGATTTTCCCTCTTCTCTAGGCAACAGGACTTGTACTCCATGTTCTGTATTTATGTTAGGTTGAGTGCCATCCCTAAAGTTAGCTAGGCCAATTTTTACCATTTTTGCATCAAGAAATGCAATAAATGTATTTTGAAATAAAAAAGTGTCATTTTGAAAACTTTTTTTTCAAACTTTAACCTTATTGGAAAATCTGTAGTAAGAAAAATGCTAAAAGAGAGGTTTTGCTTTGCAAGGATGTGCTGAACGTTGACAGGGTACTGAGGATACCTCATTTGTCTGCATCACTGTGGTGGGCTGACACTGACTACCAGCCAAGCACCACCACAGGTGCTCACTCCTTCCTCCTCTATCAGGACACAGGAAGAAGACAGGAAGACCTGAGGGGGAAAAACTCATGGGTCAAAGCAAAGACTGTGAAATCACTTACCAATTGCTGTCATGGGCAAAAGAGATTAGACTTGGTGAATTTGCCTCAATTTACTGCCAATTGGCAGAGATAGTCAATTACTGGTTTGGGTATTGCAAAACAAAACAAAACAAAACCACAAACATTTCAATCACGTCTCAATCTTTCCCACACTCAGCTTCCCACTCAGGTTCAATTCCACTCCACACACCTCTTCTGGTGACTTTCTGTCACCAAAAGTTACCTTCAGTCTCTCCAGTAAGGCACCAAGCAGTGCAGGAGGTTGGGATCAGTTTTCTCTTCTCCTGTGCTCGGATATAGAATCATAGAATGGTTTTGGTTGGAAGGGACCTTAAAGCTCCCTCAGTCCAACCCCCCTGCCATGGGCAGGGACACCTTCCACTGGACCGGGCTGCCCGAAGCCTTGTCCAGCCTGGCCTTGAACACTTCCAGGGAGGGGGCATCCACAACTTCCCTGGGCAACCTGTGCCATCGTCTCACTACCCTCACAGTAAATAATTTCTTCCTAATATCTAGTCTAAATCTATCCTCTTCCAGTTTAAAACTGTTCTCCCTCATCCTTTTGCTACCTGCCCTTGTAAAAAGTCCCTCTCCAGCTTTCCTGTAGGACCCCTTCAGGAACTGGAAGGCCACAATAAAGTCCTCCCAGAGCCTTCTCTACTCCAGCTTGAACAGTCCCAACTCTCTCAGCTGGTCTTCATAGAGGAGGTGCTGCAGCCCTCTGCTCATCTTTGTGGCCTCCTCTGGACCCACTCCAGCTCCATGGCCTTATACTGGGGGCCCCAGAGCTGGATGCAGTACTCCAGGTGGTGTCTCACAGGAGCAGAGTAGAGGGTCAGAATCACCTCCCTCACCCTCCTGGTCACACTTCTTTTGATGCAGTCCAGGATGCAGTTGGCCTTCTGGGCTGCAAGCACACACTGCCAGCTCATGTTGAGTTTTTCATTGACCAACACCCCCAAGTTCTTCTCCTTGGAACTGCTCTAAAGCCATTCTTTGCCCAGCCTGTATTTGTGTTTGGGATTGCCCCTACCCAGGTGCAGGACCTTGCACCTGACCTTGTTGAACTTCATCAGGCCCAACTCTCCAGCCTGTCCAGTTCCCTCTGGATTGCCTCCCTTCCTTCCATCATGTCAACCGCATCACCCAGCAAACTTGCTGAAGGTGCACTCGATGCCACTGTCCATGCTGCTGACAAAGATGTTGAACAGTACCGGTCCCAGCATCAATCCCTGGGGCCACCACTCATCACTGGTCTCCATTTGGAGTTCTCCAGAAGCTGCACTCACTTCACAGGTGTACCTGCTCCAGTGTGGACTGATCCACTGGGTACAATGCCTTCAGAGGGGTTCCTGCTCATCAAGCACTACCTCCTTCTCTGACCTTCTGTACTTTTTCAGTCTTTTGTTCTCTCCTTATTCTGTCATTTTCGGCACTTTCAAAAATTTGTTTTCACCAAGATGCCACCACTTCTTTTGTCTGCCTCACCTTTGGTATGTGGTGGGTCCATCGTGGACCTGGCTGGAACTGTCCCTGGCTCAGGTCAGCGCTTGGCCACTTCCCAGAGAGTGACCACTCCTGAAGCCTTCCCACCCCCACCACCAACAAAACCTACAGCCAAGACACCCACGCCAATGAAATCAAAGGAAACAACTTCCTACATCTGATCAAGTCTGTATGAAGTTCCTGTAGCACCTGTAAGGTTAACCAGCTCCATCAGGAGCTATGAAAAGCAGCTGCCTTCAGGAGGATAGGACAGGGAATGTATCACACTCATCTTGCAAAAGCGTTGAATGTGAGAAGTATCTGGTTTGCTTCTGTCTTTTTATTTTTCTTCTGTCATGGTTTGGGGTGGCCCCAGCCACTAAATCCTGGACAGATGCTCTCTGTTAACCCCTCTCCCCTCCCCAGAAGGGAAGAGAAAAGAGAATAAGGGAGAGAGACTTTACAAATTGGAAAACATACTGACAGATTTAATGAAAAAATAATACTAATACTACAGGATAATAATGTAAATTGGAAAATAATGAAAATATGTACAAATATGTACAAATATGTACAAATATATATCTACAAAACCAATTTAAAATTCTCCCCTCACCCTTCCCCCAATGACATATACGTCACCAGATGCTCTGCGAAGCAGGGCACTGGAAAAGTCCCAGACTGAACTCAGCAGCAGGTGGGAGCAGGATGCAGGAACACACGAATCAGGAACAGACGCAGACGAACTGCCAGACCTCGGCCACTGCAGGATCGAGACAGACGAAAGGGTCCAAGATGGAAGGGCTCCCAGATGGAAGAAGGGTTGAGACCCTTGTGATCCCTCGACTTTATACCAAATATGACATATGTGGGATGGAATACCTAGTTGGTCAGTTGGTCAACTCTTAAAGGCCCCAGGAACGGGCAGTCCCCGTGCGTCAGAAAACGAATCGGTGGGAAAGAAGACCAGCCTGGCTGAACAGAGAGCTCTGACTGGAGCTCAGGAAAACGAAGAGAGTTTATGATCTTTGGAAGAAGGGGCAGGCAACTAAGGAGGAGTACAAGGCTACCATGAGGCTGTGCGGGGAGAAAATAAGCAGGGCCAAAGCACACCTGGAACTTAATTTAGTTAGTGCTGTTAAAGACAATAAAAAGTG